GTAGGAAACAAGGTATGACGGTGTGCTGCGGGTGGCCCCTGCTGCAGCCCGAGAGCTTAATGTTGCACTGCTACGTCAAATAATCACCTACTACAGTCAAACACAAAATTTGGTAAAGCTTGGGCCATAAAATGACATGCATCCTAACAATACGACGAAGGTCAATGACCTGGGCTGTCTGGCCTGTCATGTCCGTACACCAGTCGTGGAACGTCATATTATACATGACACGGCAAAAGCCGATGGCATGGGATCCTCTCATATCCATTTCAGGCACGTACGATTGTGTTTACGTCCGGATTACAGCTATGCTACAATCGTCCACATCATCGTACAATTCCAGGCGAGCGACGCAGGGTGCCGACTGCCACATTCAGTGAAGGCGGACGCTCTGCGCTGCGGGCGCTCCCTTCCCCTCCAACCCCCCCCCCCCCCCCCCCCCCCCCACCCCCCCCCCCCCCCCCCCCCCCCCCCCCCCCCCCCCACCCGCTTCCGTCGTCGCCAGTCACATCGGGGACTTACCGCACCGATCGCCACCACACGGTCGGCTCCCTTCCCCCTCGCCCCCCCCCCCCCCCCCCGCTTCCGTCGTCGCCAGTCACATCGGGGACTTACCGCACCGATCGCCACCAGACGGTCGGCTTCCTTCCCCCCCCCCCCCCCCCCCCCCTCCCCCACCCGCTTCCGTCGTCGCCAGTCACATTGGGGACTTACCGCGCCGATCGCCACCAAACGGTCGAAGTGGTGGATGTACACGTGCACGAACACGCGGAACAGACGTGTCAGGATCTTCTTGGACAGGCTGGAGAACGTCTTGGGGAACGGCACGTCTGGAACGATGCCAGGCCGGAGGCCGACTGTGAGCGCTGGTCTCTAAAGACAGTGACCAGAGCGTTCCCAATCCCAGGACAAGATCCAGTTGGCTCGAGCAGGCTTCGAGGTAGACTTGTGCTCGGGTCCGGGCAAATCGACGTTGCGTTGGTCGGAACCAGAATATAACTCAGTTCCACTGATATTTCCATCACACTTTTTTCAACGCAGCACATCGGTGATCCTGTCACAACGTCACAAGACATTCGGCATGCAAGACAACTATATTCATCTCACTTCATTACAAGACAAACACATTTAGGAACATGGGAAAGACTTGCCTAGATTACTGATTATCCAGATAATTAATTTCTTAGAATTTCAGGTGATGCTACTGCATGGTCATTAAGCACCCATTAACTATTGCAATTAAATCTTGAAAAAAACAGAGATACAGTCACTGAGGACAGATGGCATCAAGTCATGCCCTGACACAAGTTTATTTCACATGCCTTATCATACCAACATAGTGTCATGATGGTGCTCAGCACAGCAGAGACAGCCAGCAGTAAATTATGGTGGCGAAGCATCTCACCGACTGTGACGGGAAAGAGCGCCTCGTCGTTGATCTGCGCCTCGACCCACTCCATCAAAAGCGTAATGTACTGGGGCGCAGACAGCGCCGTCGGCTTCTTGTACTTGTGCCCGTCGGCCCAGCGGTACTCAAACTTGGGCCCTCCCGACATCACCGGGCACGACTCCTCCGTGCAGTTGTCGCAGATGGTGCCATAGATCAGGTTGATGCGGTTGAAGAAGTCGACCACTGCGGCAGCAGAGTTCAGGAGCTGCAAGCTTTGTCTCTTACTTGCCTTGCTCAATGTTTTGCACACATGTGTTGGCCCCAAGAAACTTGTAATGCCAGTGCACAATTATTTCACAAACCTGACAACAGACAGTATAGTGAAATGCAATAGCAAACTGGTGACTAGTGATGAATGGTTGTGGGCTCCCAAAGCCAACACTTACCATGGACAGCAATCCAGTCATTGAGCTGCTCGCCAGGAGGCAGCTTGACAGCCAGCCGCAGATTTAGACCAGAGTTGAGAGAGGCCTGGGCGTGCTTGTATAATGAGTACTTCATGGTGCCAGGCTGGAAATTCTTTCTGGGCCTAAAAGTCTGGAACCAAACCAGACAGTGAGGATTGTGATGCTGCCAGTATAATGATTGTAACACACTACCTGCCCGTGCTTTTATTTATTTGCCATGTAAGGTGGGCAGATCACTTATTTCCTATCTATCTCTACAAACATGAAGGGTAGAGTAACAAAATTCACATGGTAAGTAGGTACTATAAGGATCTGTGCTATCAAAAAAGAGTAATAATGAGTCTAGGTAAACATCTTCCATGACAAGTGAGATCAAACATTTGATTAGGCCTGCTCAGAAGGCAACCCAATGCTGGCTACATCAACTATGTTGGGAACTATAAATTAGAACAATGAAGCTCATAATAAGGATAGGTACTGCAGGAGCCTGAGCTCGAGCACAAATTCATAATCCCTGATCAGCATTTTCAATATCAGATCAGATGGTAGAATATGTAGAGCTGGCTTGTGAGAGGGACAGGCACCCTTGGGACAGGTGAGAGTGGTGTAGACAATCTCAGTGGTTAAAATATTACAAAATGCATCAAATAACAACATACAGGATAGGTAGCCACTAGCTAATGCAATACTTAATGGCACAATGTTGTGTGCAAGTTTGTTGATATCAGGCCTGATAGGGTAACATGGAGAATAAGGTGTCACTGATTGATAAGAAGCACATAAATAACACAAAACTACATGATATAGCAAATGCAAGAAAAAATACAAGGCAACAGCATGCAAAATAACACAACTCTATAAAACATCAAAAATGCATATATTACAACTGACATGAAGACAAAACAATTAACAATTCATACATTGTGAATGAACACAATTCCTGAGCATAAGCATTTGTTATTTTTTGGAGGCATGTAAAATTTATTGTGAAGGTGAATTTTATCTTAAGGCAACTGGTAACATCAACCATGCTATTTCATGAATATTTTGATATACATGCCACGCTTGGTAGTCTTATATAGTGTAATCAATAAGTGTAAGAAGCACAATGCTTGCATGAAGAATGAGGGTCATGGTTTCAGAACATGACTTTGGGTGGCTGAACAGTGAGAAATGACCCAAAATACCCCAAAATATGCTACCAACCAAATGTTGCTCCATGTCTGGCCTCCTTTCTTCCCATAATGCACAACGCATGCATCATGCACAAGATCAAAATTGCAATATAATTCTTTTGGATTTTAATGGCCCGCATGTTCATCACAACTACCTGTGCTTGCTCTTGTACATTTTCGGGAAAAAATGGAGAAAACCTTTCGATACGCACACAGATATTTCGAAGTACAAGCCACGAGCCCGTCAACGCCCACCATACGGCCTCTAGCCCCTAGGTACCTTGGTAACCAGTTAAATACATACACACTCACCTTGCCCTTCTGAAAGAAATCAACAAGAGCCGACATGTCTCCAATATCTAACTTAAGGGATGAATCAGGATCTGAAAGGGAAATCAAACGCAGTGGTCCCGGCTCGTCTTCATACGCCTTCTCAACAACCGCGCTCCTCACAGGCGCTCGCCCACTGCTAATAAACACTAATCCCAAAATGAGGATAAAATGAAAAGAAGTTTTAAGACGTCTACAACTCCGACGCAGATTCAATTTTGGACATTTCAGTACAAAAGCAATTTTTAAAATGACGTCATATAACGCATTGAACTATCTCAAGAATGAGGAAAATGGAATATCATTACGTCAATTTTTTTTCCCAATATCATCTTTTCGATCCCACCAACTCATAATCGGAATTGTATATCCTAGATAAATTAGCGCCGAGCGCGTTGTGCTATTGACGACGCGAGCCATCCCGCGATGGTGTTTACTCTGTGGGTGCTGTTGGGGTTGGGTGGACCTGCCGTCTCGTCATAACTTTAACTTCACCGCTTCACCCGCGGCTCAGTATTGTGAAGGCAAGGCGTCAAATAATCACGGAATACTTTAAAAATGCTGGTGACTTGCATGAGGTGAGCTTTAGATCAGACCCTCACTAAGCGTGTCACAATGGATCGTTGTCAAATCACCAGTTGGTAATAGTTTGTCAACTCGGCCGCCTTGTACTTTAACTCTAATGAGAACCATTGTCTCCACCAATGGTGTTGGCCCATCGAGAAGTTTGTGCGAAGCCAGTCCAAAAAACCATGCGTAAAGATGAAGATGTGACTTCTCTATGTCATGTTTCTGTCAATAAATGCTGTCAGGTTTAGATTGTTATAGTTTTGGGATATGCCAGTGACCCAGACTAAGATAGATACAGCCTGGTGCAGTGATTAAATTTTCCCGTCATTGAAGCGCTCTTGTGCGTGAAATCTAAGTGTCAAAAGTTTAGTTAGTGCATGACTGCCACTAATTGCAACACATGTTCCTCCAGCATTTCGTGAACTCGGAGTGCTGTTATGGTACTTTCAGGGAAAAACATTCTGTTATGCCCAAGTACATTGTTTTCATAGTATGTGAGTTGTTAAGTGCATTTTCAAGGAACAATATGCACATATTTTAGGTAGCATTAACTTGTTCGTCATAGATTGAACCGGAGAATGGAGAGATGGGTATCATATTTTGGCTACATGCTTTTATCCAAATAACTATCAGTAGTAAATTCAAAATTGCCAATTTTGAATTTACTACTGATGTTAGCATTGCCAAATGCATATAGCTGAATGACCACATATGTCTGCATTCTCCCATTTAGTGTTTGAGGAATAGGGCCATCAATCCTATCTGATCTATAGTGCCCAGTTAAACAGTCTGTTCAATTTGAATGCAAGTAAACCCATGGTATGCTGGTAGTTGGCACTTCCATGTTCTAGCCTCATTACCTTCATCTATGTTGTGTAGGCTCTGGCACAGAATATGGACTTTCAGACAAGAGGAGGGTTGACTGTCTTCTTGTCTTTTTCCTTTGGCTGTCATTAAGTCAAGCAATATTTTTGTTTGCTTCCTGCATTATATTGTTATTAGATTTTCCAGAGATGTTTGCCATATGCCTGCAAACAATCCATTTTCTACCTGTTTATTGACAAAGTTAGTTCCTACCCAGAACAGCATGTTCACATGAAGTATGGCCCTGCTTGACAGATGAGGCTTCCACATATTACCTTTTTTCCTCTGCTACCTATGCATACAAAAGTTGGCTTACAGATGTGAACCATGTTTTTGCATTGTCAAATGCATGTAGTGCTAGGTATGATAAATATGATGGGACTTGAGCTGTTGCCAGCTGTATAACAGGCACTGGAGCATATAACATACTTGAGCTGTATGACAGGCACTGGAGCCCTGAAAGCATCATACTATGTTGAATATTTATGCTCATACATTTGTAGGATAGTCATGGTGATAAAGATAAATAGACAGGATCAGTTTGGATAAGACTCTTCATTTTATAGTCATATATATAAGTTCAGGCTATTGTAAATCGCTTTGTGATGGATATTTGGTTGTGTGGTCCTGAGACTCAATGCCCTGAAATTTTGAGGTCATGCATGCCCTTAACTTAATCTAGAAATGTGAAATCTTAAAAGCTTCTGGCTGATCAACAGTGACAGATCTCATCAAGCTTTTTTAGCTTACATTTTTAGGAAGCATTCTAGGATAATATTCAGGCTGTCAGCCTGGTCTTTTTTAGATGGATTCTGAGGTACCACACAAACTCAGTCTGGTAGTAAGAAGGTACCACACAAGCTGTCAGTCTAGCAGTGGTGCAGTGAGAGCCTTGGCAAGGGAGGCACAAGGCTGACAAAGAGCCCCTGATAGTAAAAGGGCCCTCAAAAACATTGCTTAATATGACCCATTTGTTTTTGAGGACATTTTTTCTTATATACACATAACACATTTTTACCTTCTATAACTGGAATATAGGCCAGATGCTGCTGTGATATCAAGGCTGCCCTAAGTCTATGTTAAATAAAGTGAGAGAATCACTCTAATGACTGCATGAAAGAAATCACTGGCACTGTTTGTTTTGCAGTGGTCCAGTGAACTCTTTTTAAGCCAATAAAACTGAGAAATGTCATCAGAATCTGTATCTAGGCTATACGGAACTAACAAGGATTTCTTGAATGTAGATTGAAGATCAAAATAGGACAACAATTTTGTATTAACGTGGCCAGGCCATGTTTGTCTGGATATCTTCAACACTTAGTCAGAATTGATTGGTGGTACAGATATGTAACACAGTTTTGAGGGTGCAGGCTCGCATATCTTACAAAAACTATGCTAGGCATCGCAATCTTCTAGGCTGCTCACCGTCTGCCCGCGGCTTACAGTAGGCCGTGGCCAACAGGTAGACCAAATAGTGTCAGATCTGAAAGAAGTGCCTTTGGATGCTTTTGAACACCAAATTGTACATTTAGAGATATTCCGGGTGTGTGTTTCACCTGTGCGGTTTTTAGGTTGGTAACAGCAGCGCATTGGTCTTAATAGCACCGCGAGAGTAAAATTTATTTATTGTGTTGCTGAATTAATTTTGAAAGACGTGTAGAAATAGGATTTTACTATGATGATTGTTGCGCGCTCGACGCCCGCCCCCTAGCGTTACTTGCAGCGGCTAACGCCGTTCGGTTTTACGAAAAGTGCAACTCAAGCCATCGCTACCCTTGTTCCCCGAGATCACGTCCGTATCATCAGGACTTAGCTGCTGGGGCTGTATGGCGCCACCAGCCTCTCACCCTAGCGGGAAGGGCGGGCACCGCGGATAATGGAATTCCGTGCCTGTGGTTTCCCAGCGCGTCTGGTACGGGGGAAACATGGGATGACCTTGTGCGTTTCGAACTCATTCCGACCCACTCCATTCAGCACTAATGAGACCCCTTATTTCTTAACAGTGAGACCCCTTATTTCTTAACGGCAAAGGTGCCCCCTTGAGTACGACACTACGGGGCGCATTGTCATTCCCGGTCAATAGCTGAAGGGCCATTCTGTCCCACCGCGGTGTATTCCGGCCGCCATTCTGGCGACACCGGCATCCCCTGGCAAATCCGGGGGCTCTTAGAGGGATGCATCACATCACGTTGGTCCACTCCCTGAGGCGGGAGGCCGTCTTACTCGCGCGGTTGACTTCAGATCGACGCATAAACCGTCATAAACGCAACAACATCCTTGTTCATCGCAGGTAGTCAAATAATTGGCGTCTAGACCCCAGCTGCGGTCAACAGGCCCATGCTGGAAAAGGGTTGGAGGGCCCACTGTTGGGTACTGGGGGCCCTGAATGGCACAGGAATATTTTCTTACATCATTGTGAGCACTCATAAATTCTTGTTCCCTTCCACTGTCAGAGGGTCCCGACCAACACAAGATACCCTCTGCCGTTCAGGCTCCCGTCCCTGTCCGTGTAAAACGAATCTTCCCCTGGCCGATTCGAGGCCCCTTGTTGGCACAAGATGTCCCATTACGCACTGTGGGCCCCTGAACGATACAGGCGCCTGACCGATGTAAATCGCGGGTCTGGCCTTGTCCCTGCTTGGGAAATTGGCCCCCAGAGCTCAGACCAACACGGAGCTGACTGTTCGTTGTTCGCGATCTCTGGCCGAAATAGAGGAACGATCTGTCTCAGGGGTTCCTATAGGTGCAAGAGATCATCTTACTGACATTTGAGATCACAACTCCATGGGCGGGGGTCCTTAATATAACCAACAGCCAGCCCTTCGGACCCTTCAGCCATACCATCGAGCCTTTGATCTTTGGCCTCGAAATATCCTTCGGCCCCCCTTCGGGCCCCCTCAAACACCGCCCCGAGTCGGGGCCACTTGCCGCCACAGGACCCCTAACCGACACAGGATCCCTCATTGTGTCAAGAACCCCAAACATTATAAATCGCGGGCCCGAGCCACGTTTCTGCTTGGAAAATGGATTTCAAGGGCTCAGACGGACTTGGAGCCGAATGTTCGGTGTTTGTGGTCTCTGACCGACTTAGACACCCGCGTTGTTTCAGGGATTCCTAAAACGGTGCTAGAGGACGTCTGACTGACATTTCAGGTCACGACCCCGCAGGCCGCAATTCTTTATGTGACCTACAGCCAACCCTTCTGGCCCCTATGCCCTCCGACGGGGTCTTTGATAGCCGGTTCCGGTGGGCCGCCCGTGCCGCTCTTCAGGCCTCATCAAACACTTCCCTTGGTCGGCTCAGGGCCCTTGCGAGCACAGGGCCATTGTGCGCGACCCTGTGGGCCGGGGCCCCTGAATGAGACCTCCAACTGGCTTTTCGGAACCTAATCAAGGCACGTGTCCCTCTGCCCCCCCCCCCCCCCTGCCTGCGCCGCTGCTGTCTAATAGGTAAAATATATCTATTTGGGCCTTGGATTGATATGCTTGATATAGAGGACCACTAAATGGGTGTGGTGCTACAGATCCCAGGCAAGTGTATAGAACCTTCCAAATATATGTTCTATTGATATTTTGCGTTTATGGGTTCCTGCTGAATCTGCAAATGACCTTTCTGGCAAAAATGTTTTCTTGATAATGTAGTCTTAGTGATATGGGGTGTTCCAAGCAGGAACTAATGGACATTGGTAATGCTATTGTTTTAGGCCTTTGATGAAGAGTACGAAAATGCTTCCACGGTTTTGTTTCAGTTGTAAAATATTATCTGTCCATTCTAAGATGTTATTTTTCCTCTGTTCATAGTATAGTTTTCATGATCTGGAGTTCTCCAAGCAGGATAAACATGCATTACAACTATCATTGTTGTATACCTTTGAGAAAGAATGAGGACGTTGTTTGATTATGACTTTTAGCTCTAACTCTAAAATGTTTGTTTTCTTTTTTGGATGTAGTTGCCAGGATTATGCATTGATTGAAGCCTTGTCCCAGAAAATAAGATGACATAAATGTAATTTCATGATTCACACTATAAAAATTATAACAAGAACTTCTCAACATATTATGCCTGACACACATGTTACATGACCATGGTCATAGGAGGACAGTTGGCAATGTGATGCTCAAGAATGTATTTTTCAGGCAGTGAGTCTCCAATTTGATTTATGATGAATGGAGTCATGGAGCATCACCACAACAGTGCACATCATCATCATCATCAACCAAATCATCATCCTCATCACCATGTAGCAAAAGAGAAACACCCACCACCTCCAAAGTACAAAGCATTCAAGCTGTTATCAGATCCATGCATCATCCAGGGAGCTTCAAAGATCTACAGGTAAGGATGTCTATATCATCTATGGATATTATTGCCACACTGACTGGAGAATGCAAATAGCAAATGTGGTGGCTTGGCCACTTGAAGTTCCAGTCAACATAGCTGTATTTTATATATATTTACCATGGAAAATCTTCTGATTGTAGCGGCCTCATCTCACTGATTTCCAACTTTCCTCAGCCATTGAACTATGACATCCATAATTGCGAATCATTATGTATGACAGCAATCAGTGAAAGCTTTCCAAGCGATGTTTGGATATTATTCGAAGTATGTCGCGAATTATGACGCTCATAATATCTTACGACTTTTAAGAGGTTTAAAGCAAAACTGAAGCAGATCTTGAAACATTGTTCGGCCATATTCTCGTAATGCTCTTTGCCGTTTGTTTTATGTGTTTTTTATATCCCTGACGCTTCTGTGTGCCTCCCGAGCAGCAGCTGCAGGTTGTGATGTCCCCACCCCAGTGTGACAGCCCCAGCCTGACCGGACGCCCGTGGCGCGCGCTCCCCGTCGCCGCAGGTACGACGGCCGCGTGCCCAACGACGCCTCGTACCCGACTGTACACGTGCGCGACCCGCGGCCGCCGCTCACGCGCATCTGGTCGCGCATGGAAGTACTGCAGATGCCTGTGCCCAAGTTTCGGGTAGGTGCACTTGGTGCCGCTGATGGCCGCAGATGCCGGGCGCAGTCAGGCTTCGCGCCGGCGTTTTGAGACGGCCGTTGTATCAAGTTGCATCGGACAGGTTCCAAGCTCAAGTGCCCAAAAGATGCAAATGATCACAAGGCCGCAAACGTGAATGCACTGGACATACAATTTTTCCGTCGTGTCTGGGATTTTGACTACATAGGTCGGGGGGTGCTTTCAGTTGACTTGACTTCATCACTGGGAAATAAGCAACGGCATGATCTGACTTCAGTATGATTTAATCTTCGCGTGAACGAAAAGTATAGTAAATATGACAAAGACCGTTCAAATGATCGCAGCAAAACTGAGTGGATGCAAGGTGCTACCGTCCTTGAGTCCTTTCTTTTGCAGCAGCGCTGTAGGAGTGACACAGAAGAGCGTCAGTCCTAACCCATCGGCTATAGCTTTTTTAATGGAGTGTCAGTTTTAACCTGTCGTCGCCAGATTGACGAAGACTACGTGGGCATGCCTCCCCCGCTGGAGGTCTCCATCACCAACATCAACGACAACATCGACCAGGCGTTCCTCTCTGAATTGGTAGGTGCCGGAGCGTTCACACTGGTCACGACTCCCGCGCATCCAACATACCGACAGCCGGTGCATACCAGGCTGGGTATGGGCGAGTGGGATGCTTCCCAGGCCACTTCAGCGGCATAACTATGTGTGCTGATACAATTGGGATATCCTGCGCATGTCATGACATACGCATTTCATTTGTGGAGCATGTCTTAGTTTGTCTTGTACAATTGTACATGACACGCTCGGATAGGATGTCACTAACGAGAGGGCGCGATATAATGCAGAAAGATGAACCGACGAATTTCCGTACAGTTTTTCCTGCCTCTGCTTGGTACTTTTTGCCTCAGATTTGTCATACTGAGATGCCATGATAGACATGACTGGCTAACACTGGCGTTACATGATGTCAACAGTTTTCTGACTGCATAATACCCGTTTTCTTTTTTATATACACTCATTTGCTCATTTCGTCGCTTGAATTTCAGGCATCATGTAGCCACATCTTATTATGGAGGTAATGAAGCCAGCTGATCATCAGCGCCTTCACGTCTCAAAATTGCTCATTAGCTGCTGAATTATGTTCTTTCTGGCCACCACATTCTGGACCGCCAGTATCAGCAGTACTGACCCACTTGCATGCTTGCCCAGGTACAAAAGTACGGCGAGCTGGAGGAGCTGACCATCTTTTACCACACGCGCACCGGCAAACACCTGGGCTTGGGCCGGGCCGTGTTCCATCGCGTGGAGGGCGCCCGACTGTGCGCAGAACGGCTCAATCACACCTCGGTCATGGGCAACGTGCTCAACGTCTTCCCAGACGCCTTCGGTGAGCGACGCGTGGTGACCGGCCGACCTTGGCTTCAGAAAGGCGCTGGGTCACTGCAGCCTTCGTCCGGAGTTTGCTGGTAGGCGTGGCTTGCTTGGTCCACTGATCGTATCCTGTTATTATTACTGTTTGGGTGGGAGGAGGAGAGCTGCATCTCAGACCCTAGCCATTGAACGTCGCAATATATCGTGCGAGGGGGACGGGGCGGAGAATCTCCAGGCTGATGCCGAGCCCCGAACCCAGGACGTTGCGTACACGGTCGTTGGCGAACACTGGGCCGATGGCGCCCAGCCGTCTGGTGCCGCGCGCAGGTTGTGGCGAGGTCTGCAGCTGGCCGGCGGGCTCTCACGTGGCTGTGCTGCGCGGCAGGGGCCAAGGTGCGTCAGATGGCGGAGGATCTGTCCGAGGACCGGCCCGTGCGTCGCGAGGAGCCGCCACCGGCCCTGCCGCCGCTGGCTGCGCCGGAGCCAGAGCCGGAGCCCGCCGCCGATCCGGAGCCGGAGCCGGAGCCGGAGCCGGAGCGGACGGCCGTCGTCAGGCAGCCTTCGGATCTCGCCGCCGAGCCTTGGGAGTCGGCGACCGGCGCCGCTGTGGACAGCGACGAGGAGCGGCTCGACTTGGATACGCGCATCGCGCAGCTGCTGCAGCGCAAGGCACGCCACGTGCTGGTGCCGTCGTTCGCCGAGATGCTGGACAGCGGCGGCGAGTCGGCGTCCGATTCATGCTCAGAGAGCGGCTCCGACTGGGAGGCGCCGTCGCCGCTCAGCGCCACGCCGTCGCCGTTCGCCTCCCGCGAGCTGTACCTGCGCAGTCACCGCGAGTGGTGCCAGACGGAGGCGGAGGCGGGCCGGCGGCGGCGGCCGGCCGGCCGGCGGCGCAGCTCGCTCGACGGCGTGCGCTCGTTCCAGGAGCTGCAGCGGCGACTGGGCGGCCTGGCCGTGGGCGGCCGGCGGCGGCGGCGCCGCTCGCACAGGCCGTCCGAGCCGCCGCCGCAGCCGCCACCGCCGCTGCCGCTGCCGCCACCGCCGCCGCCTCCACCGCAGGAGAACGGCCGACTGGACTGTCCGCCGCCCGGTTACGGGCCGCCGCCCTGCCCGCCGTTCGCGGCGTACCCGCCGCCGCTGCCACCAGACGGCACGTGCCAGCCGGCGCCGTGGCGACCGCAGGACTGGCCGTACCCGTACCCGTACCCTTACCCGTACCCGTGTCCGCCGCCGGGACCGGGGCCAGGGCCGGGGTTCCAGCAGTACCTGGCGCCTCCGCCCGCCCACCAGTCAAGCGACGCGCCGGCGCCCGAGGCGGAGCCGCTGACGCCCGATCTCGTGTCTCGGTGAGTGGCCGCCGCCGCTGCTGCTGCCGCTGCTGGCAGCTAGAGCTCCGGGACACGCTGCGGATGCGGCGCCGCGGTTCGTTGGCTGTGCTGGGTCTCCCCAAGCGTTGAGCTGCTGTAAGCTGAGGTTGCGGTGTCAGCAATTTTATTTGACCGTTTCCAAGGGTTGCATTATGCTCCTGGTCTTCCTTTAGTGCCGGAGTCGCTCTCCGGGCGTTATGGACACGCTGACACTATCTTTTACGCCTTTTTTGTGTTGTTTTAAATATGTCCTATTACTGCTAACAGGCCAACAGTTGTTTAGTTGCGGTGGGCAGAGCACAGTTGTCTTTAATCTGATATGCTTTTTAAAAAGTTGTGTTTGAAAGAAGGAAGCTGTGATATTAGAATGCTCTGTTATGGGGCATTTCGGTGCGATGTTAGAGAGACGTGCAGGTGTCTCCACAAGCTTTTGGACCACTTTTTGGACACTCAGAAGCTACGTATTTTTGTCTTCTAAGATCCCTTGGGGAAAAACAGAGCATGCCATTTGGACGTCTTTAATTTTACATCGCCGTATTTCAGCGCTCTGCGCCAATCGCACTGTGCGGAGTTATTTGTTTTCCAGTGTGCTGACATTTCTGGTTCGTATTTCAGGAGAGCCCTGGACGAAGTCGTCCGGGAGCTCAAACAGATTCTGAAGCGAGACTTCAACAAGAAGATGATCGAGAACACTGCGTACCGCATGCTGGAGAAGTGGTGGGACCGCCAGGCTGAGCTGCATAAGGTATGGGGGCTGTAGTAGTGTATCACGGTATGTAACGCCCTAGTCCAGCATCGTGTTTGCTGTGCGACGATCCCGTCTGTTGAATTCGGAGACACCTGTGCGTCATTGATGGCGTGAGACGGAAAGGAAATTTTCCACATTTGTACCGGGTTTTGAACAGAAACAGCCATCTTGAAAATCATTCGGTGCAGTTCACTGACCTGCCATTCGTAAGACCTAAACCCTACTAGTTTCTGAGCTGTACGCTCGCGAAGATGTGCAGACTATCTCGGGAGATTATATCAAGGTCATCCTGCCATCCATGGCGCCATGATAAGGTCATTCATATGCTGCCATTCCATTAGCCATGCGTCGATCAAGGCCAATGAAAAAGATGATTGTCAGTTCGTTCATGTGTGGCGTTCGTGAGCGCGATTTCCAGTCATAACGACCGCGCATTCGCTCTCGATCATTGCTGTGCAAGATACGATGATGTAATCAAACAGCGCTGTATTGAGGAGCATGTTTACTGAACAGAGAAATTGTATTGTCAAGAGTAGTCTGTTCTACTTAAAAGCACGCCATTAGTTATGTGAGCTGATTTCGTCACATTTGATGTTTGATTCAATGCCTTCATCTGTGGAACATTCCCTTTCATGTATTGCTGCCTTGTCGGTTGTTGGCGTCGGCCGCCCGCTCTGCCGTCCGCTCCGCCGCTGGACGGCTGGTGCGGCCGGCCCGCGTGTTTCCGCAGCGTGCTGTCCGCCGTCCGGCGGCGGCCCTCTGTGACCCAGTCGGGCTGACGGGCGCGGTGCGTGCGGCAGGCGCGGGACGAGGAGAGCCGGGCCGGCGGCGCCGCGCCGCTGGCGCCGCCGCGCGCCGACCTCACCTCTCTGCTGGAGAACAGCCGAGGCTCGCTGACCGGTGCCGGCGCTGGCTTCGGCCTCGGCTTCCGCATGGCGCTGCCCAAGATGCCCTCGTTCAGAGTAAGTGGCCGTCGGTCTGCGCTCGCTCGCTCGCTCGCTCGTCTGGCCGGCGCGGCGTAGACAGGGCGCGGTCGGTGTGTGGCTGCCCTTTACGTTAGGTTGGACTGGATGGGTGCAGCATGCAGGCCGGGGCGTCATGCACATATCCGTACTGAAGAGCGGCGTGCAGCTGCGTTACAGAGTGGTAGCAGAGCTTTTGAATTTTTTATGTCACGCGTGTGAACCCGCACGTGTCTTGCGAACCAGGAGGACTCATCGCTGTTGGAAGGAACAAAATCGTCCCTATGAGTCCACGACATGATGAACACAAAAATAACTCTTGCCTTCAGACTTCTGTTCGACTCGAACTGGATCATACATCGACTCATGAGTCGTTCATTTTGGGGTGAGCTGAGTCTGCTCATTAGGAAAAATACCGCTTGGAGTCATGAGCTGAATCAGATTCTTCGTTAATTGCATGGTCTGATTCATAAGCCGATCATTTCCAACAATGTTGTCCCAGTCATATGGCTGACATGAAAATGAGAACATGAGGAAATGCATGACACCTCAGGCAGATTGCCAGATTACTTCAGTGTCGAAAAGAATGACGTAGAACATTAGTTATAAAGTTTTTTTTTGTGCAAAATCAGCACCCAGCTTGCCGTTGTAATTTCTAAACAGCACACACAATATTGTTGATCCTGAACTTAACTTTGCCAAATATCAGTCAAGAACTAAAGGATATTGTGTGGTACAGACAGACTACATTTTACCCTACCCTAAAATCAGTAAAGGATTCTGCTCTTCCTATGAACTCAAGTGATTGTTATACTTTTCATTGTCAGCTGTCACAACAATGAACTAGTCCATGCCTGGTCCCTCTACTATCTACTTGAGTCTGAACTGGGCCGAATAAATAAGTGGAACTGCTATGAATCGAGAGATGAATTGGATCCCAAATTATGTTATCCATTCCTGGGCCAACTCAGAATATTTGCCTCCTAGCCGGCCACAACACCGGCAGTGGTGCTCTGACCACTGACGTGTGCCTCTGGACCGACAGCGGAAGATTCCGCGCCGCTCGCCGGCGCCGGCGCCGGATGACGACAGGCGGCAGGCGGCCGACTCCGACTCGGAGGCGGCCTCTGAGCCGGAGCCGGAGCCGGAGCGGCAGGAGGCACAGCAGCCCGCCCCGCCGCGGCCGCGCATTTACGACACGTCCAGCGAAGAGGACGAGCCCCCGGCGGAAGAGGAGGACGAGCGGGGATGGAAGGCGAGCAGCGTCAGCAGCAGCCGCAGTAAGGAGAGCAGCAGCAGCGAGAGCGCGAGCAGCAGCAGTAGCAGCAGCAGCAGCAGCAGCGGCAGCAGCAGCAGCGAGGAGAGCGAGACCGAGGCGGACGAGGCGGTGCGCGCACGTTCGGCCGGGGAGCTGGACGAACAGGTGGTGCCGCTGGACGAGGTGCCGGCGGCGGCGGACGAGCAGCCTCGCGCGGCGGGACGCACCGCTGATTCGATCGACGAGGAGGAGCGCGTCGGCTCGGCGATCGAAGCGGTGCTGGCGGCCGGCGCGCGGCCAGAGGAGGATGCCGCCGGCGAGCTGGCGCCGCGCCACCTCAGCACCGCCTCCGACCAGAGGACTCCCGCCACCGGGTGAGTCCGGCGCGGAGCAGGAGCCGGAGCCGGAGCCGGGACGGCACGCCTGACGACCACAGATCGTGCCTCATGTATCTTTTGACGTAAATGGAATGTTATTTGTAAAATCGTTCGAGCTATCCAGATATGGGAGGACCGGATATCGGAGGTTGGGAGGTCCGGATATCCGGATATCGGAGGTCCGGTGCTCACGGCATGGCCATCCGTCAAGACGGTGTATGTGGGTGAGAGTGGGGAAGGGGGGGGGGTGGATGCCGGGATTTTGCAGGACGTTTCCGGTGTAGATATCTCACCGTCGCCCCGTCCACACGGGTATTAGCTTATGATATGTACCATTTACCGTTGCTACCGTTGACGTATGCCGGTTACGCATGAAGCCCCTACTGGAGCTGTGCGGTCCTGAGACTGGTGGCGGCGTCCACTCGCTAAACGCCGTCTGTGCCGACCGCCTGGGCGCCGCACTGACACGCTGCCGGTGCCGCTGGCAGGGCTTCGGACTCGCCGGCGCTGCCGGCCACGCCGGGCCGATCTCCGTCACCGGCGCCGGCGCCGGGCATCACCCGGCCGGGCAGCGGCAGCGGCTCACCCTGGGAAGAGCACTCGTACTGCCGGCCGCCGGCGCCGGTGCGCGTCGGCTCGCCCTCGCCTGCCGACATCCGCGCGGCTCTGCTGCAGGACCACGGCTACACGCGGCCGCCGGCGCCGGCGCCGGCTCCCGCTCCAGCGCCGGCGCCCGCGCCTGCCCCAGCGCCCGCGCCCGCTCCGGCGCCCGCCCTCGCGCGGGGTAAACGGAAGCTCGGCGCCCGGGGAGCGGCTGGGCTCGCCAAGCGGGACGTGATGTCGGAGATGGCGCTGCTGTACGAGTTCCTGACGCGCGGCATCACGGCGGAGGACATCGGCTACCTGCACCGCTGCTATGAAAGCCTGCTGGCCGACGATCAGAACAGCTACTGGCTGAACGACACGCACTGGGTGGACCACGCGGCCACCGACCGGCCGGAGAAGCGGCGCCGGCTGACTGAGCCGGCCGCCCACCGCTCCGGCTGCGCGCGCACCGAGGGCTACTACCGCGTCTCGGCTAAGGAGAAAATGAAACACAAGGTGCGGCTGGTTACTGAATGGATTTGCTGCCTTTCTGCTGTTTTCGAACGTTGTGTATTTGCTGTTTCTCTGCTCTCTTCGAACGTTGTGTGTGTACTCTGATATGTAGACGCGAGGAATGCACGCCGCCTTGCTCTCCGGGCGCACCGCGCGCCTGAGTTAGACTGCGTGCCTGAGGCGCTACATCGAGTGGTCAGTCGGCCTTCAATCGGTCGGCCGGGCTGTGTCGCGCTCTGCTGGCTTCTCTTTGGCTCCAAGCTGTTTCGCTGCGATAGCGGCGGCGGCTGTGCCCCGTGCACCAGCGTGCGGTGTCGAGTAACAGACAGTACGTGTAGCCTATGTCGACTGCTGGAGTCTATATCCCGCATGTGTTTGCGGCACACGCCATCTCTGGAGGCTGAGTGTCCGTCCCTTGCCGGGGTTTATTTATCCGCGGTGTCGCGTCGTGCTGTTGAGTGGGGGTCTGCTGTGGTGGTGGTGGGGGGTCGTGTGTGCAGTCTGACACCAGAGGTGGTTTGCTGTGTGGACACAAGCGGACTGGCCTGTCCTACACATTTTCTCTCTGTTTGGACCGCCCGTTCCGATGATGTTGGGGCCTCACTCCGGAGGCCGGGTCTGACGTTCCTCTGCGCCGACCGTGACGCGTCCATCTGTCGCGGAACCTGCTGTGCCCGTTGTGTCAGGGTCTGGTGTCCGTCTATTGCGGGGTCTGACGTATCCGTTGTGTCTTCTGACGTGGCCGCTGTGCCGAACGCCGTCGTGTCGGCCGTGCCGGACCTGGCGGCCCGCCGACTGCATCCGGCGGCCTGACGCGCCCGCTGTGTGTGACCTGACGTGGCCGCTGTCTGACCTGACGTGCCTGCTGTGTGTGACCTGACGTGGCCGCTGTCTGACCTGACGTGGCCGCTGTGTCTGACCTGACGTGTCCGCGGTGTGACCTGACGTGGCCGCTGTGTCTGACCTGACGTGTCAGCTGTGTGTGACCCGACGTGTCCGCTGTGTGTGACCTGACGTGGCCGCTGTGTGTGACCTGACGTGTCCGCTGCGTGTGACCCGACGTCCGCTGTGTCTGACCTGACGTGTCCGCTGTGTGTGACCTGACGTGTCCGCTGTGTGTGACCCGACGTCCGCTGTGTGTGACCTGACGTGGCCGCTGTGTCTGACCTGACGTGGCCGCTGTGTGTGACCTGACGTGGCCGCCGTCGCCCGGGTCTGACGAACCGCCGCCGCAGTACCACTTCGGCCGCTCGGTGGTGGAGGCGACGACGGCGCTGGAGTCGACGGATCAGGCGTCCACGTTGCCGGACCAGCGCGCCAAGGCGGCCACGGCGGCGGCCATCTCCCGAGAGGCGCGCAGCAACCAGCGACGCATCCTCACGGTCCTGGGGGCCGCCACCGAGAGCGAGTTGCTCAAGTTCAACCAGCTGAAGGTGGGCAAGGCGGCGCGGCTCGGCTGATCGTCCAGACAGAGCGAACGCCGTTTGCACGCGTCAAATTAACAATGTTGCCGTACGCGCAGGACGACTGTGGGTGGTACGGATGTATTCTGTACGTGGTGTGCGTGTGGCCGCGATTGTGGTTGTCGTGGCGAGTTACGGACGTGTTTCGGTTAGGACGATTGTGTTTGGCTTACTGGGCAGGAAGGCGTCTTCTAAAGCTACTCCGCAACTGTTATCATTATCTGGCTTATTACCATGCGGAAAGGCGCTTTGTAAGGGTACTTCCGCGACTGTTGTCAACGTTTCTTGTGGTTCCTGGGGCGCGTCGCCACACTCCCTGACTGGCGTCACTTGTTATCCGATGCACTCCTGGGAATACCGCCCGTAAGTGCTGGTCGGGCTCAGGGTGCGCCAACCGTGCCCCGAGGTCAGCCCGTTCACAGTGCGTTGTGGCTGCGACCCCCACTGACCGGCCGCCGTCGGCAGTTCCGCAAGAAACAGCTCAAGTTCGGCAAGTCGGCCATCCACGACTGGGGCCTGTTCGCGCTGGAGCCGATCGCCGCCGACGAGATGGTGATCGAGTACGTGGGCCAACACGTGCGCCAGTCGGTGGCCGACCAGCGCGAGCTGGTGTACGAACGCCAGGGCATCGGTAGCAGCTACCTCTTCAGGATCGACCGCGACAACATCATCGACGCCACCAAGTGCGGCAACCTGGCCCGCTTTATCAACCACAGCTGCATGGTGAGCTGGCTTACGCCGTGAAGAAACCGAACGTGGTGTACGCGATGTTTGCCACTGGGCAGCTGGGTGGTCCCCTGGAGCCCGATTTTGGAGATGATGTAGCTTTTGGTAGCGTGTGGTAGCGTGTGGCGATGTGGTTCAGGTGTTGAGATGGCGAGATGTGCCCTGCCGATGGCGGCTGCCGCTCGGCTGGCGGCAGCCGCGGCCGCTTCGACGGCCGCCCCTGGCCAGGACTCTGCCAACCGAGCGCGCCGCCCAGGTGCCTGTGCTCTGGTGGTATAGCAGTCGTCCAACCCCGCCCGCCCGCTGCCCGCAGCCCAACTGCTACGCCAAGATCGTGTCGTTGGAGGGCCAGAAGAAGATCGTGATCTACTCGAAGCAGCCGATCGGTGTCAACGAGGAGATCACGTACGACTACAAATTCCCGTACGAGGAGGACAAGATCCCGTGCCTGTGCGGCACGGTCCAGTGTCGTGGTTACCTGAACTAGACCGGCGCGGCGGCCCCTGTCCGGCCGCGCCCGCCCGCCCGTCAGGCGGCGCCCGCCCGCCCCTGTCAGGTGGCGCCCGCCCGCCCGCCCGGCTGGGTCATGTCTAGTCTTTCAGTGTGCGTACTGGTCACCGTCGGGGCGGCGCGCCCACTGTACATGCCCATCTCCCATATCTCGCCCCGCCCGCTCCGTCGCCGCGTCTCTGTACAATGCATGACCACTCAACAGAATACAATGAATGCATACAGAATACGGCGAGTCCTGAGGCCGTCCGTTGTATGTGAGAACGCCGCGGGCGGCGCTTGGTCGGCATGTGCCCGGGGAAATATTTCGGGGGGCCGGTTGAATGTCAGGAATTTCCGGGACTCTTTATCTACGTGTTCCCCCGACTTACATGGCCACATGAATGACAGGACTGACAAGAAGCAACGCAATATTGAAGAACACCAGTGTTCAGCGCGAACGGTCGAATGACGTCCGGGAACCCTAGCCGTGCCCCCACCCCCCTCTCACCACCAGTTGCTGCGGACAGTACCAGTGAAGGTGTCATGCAGCGTGTAAAGGCAACCAGCTATCATGTACGCTGGCCATGTCAGGTAAGCTAGAAAGTCATCTCCGTTCGGCCAGTTTGCTGTTATTTCCAAATACGTTGCATTGGGTAGGGGGGGGGGGGGGGGTCAGCCCGCTGCGCGACCGTCCCGGCCGTGCGGGACAGCCCCTGGGGCATGCTTGGTTCCCCGCCAAGGGAAAGGTCGCGCAGGATTTAGTGTCCTGAGAACGTCGTGGGTATCTTTTTTTCCAGTGAAACGCGACGCGTCTCTTCGCACCCCTTTCAAGGAGCGCCAGCGACTACGCTGGCCATATGAGCGCTCAGGTATCATGGCGCAACCGCCCGCTGACCCGGCCTGGCCGTACACCAACAACCTGCGCGGCTGTCTGCGGCCTCGCGCATGCCTCAGACGTTGCGGTCTTGACCCACACCCCGGAAAACAGCGCCCGGTCGCTGGCCAGACTGTATTCGGCGGCGCCAGGAACACGTACACACACCGCCAATCGACAGAGGCTGCGGCGTCGCGTGGTGCACACGACCGCACGCTGGCGCGGCGGCTGAACGGAGGCACAAGCGACGGGGAACACGCAGGCCATGCGGCGGGCAGCCGGCGTCGAGCTGGCTCCCAGGCGCCCCGCACGAGGCTGGGAGATAGCGCGGCACGGGGCGCCGGTCCGCCACACAAGTAGAACCCCAAACGTGTGGAGAACACGTCCGCCCGCACACAAACCGATCTCCAACTGGTGGCGGACGCTTTTATTTTTGGACGCGCTACAAACCTGCCTGAACAGGCTGCACGCCACGGCTGTCATGAAAATTTCGCGCCTGGGTTCTGAAACCTTCCGTATGTCTAAAGGATATCGCGAACTGGAAAACGCAATTTACTTGGAGCAGTCACCGACCACGTTCCATCGCAGATAATCGAAAACCATGGTCGTTTCGCGAGGGTAACTATGCTCGAGGTCAGATCAGTTTTCGTGACGGTGGGGGTCGTTTTCAGCGATTCATCACACCCATGTGAGGTCAGACAACGGTTAGGCAATCACAGAGCACACGCGAGACAGCGGTCTTCCCTCGGCAGCGCACGTACACAGAGCACCGACACCGCTGAGGCTATCACATACAGATGACACAGGCGGCGCACAGAACAGAGTTGGCGCCGACGGCCGCTTGGCTGGAAGCCGTCGGGAAGGAGGGGGAGGGGGCCGACGGCGACGGCAGCCGCCCTCTGACTGGCACGATCACAGAACGGAAACGTCGCCGCGCCTCGACCGGTTGCGTCGTCCGACGAGGCCGGCCGGAGGAGAGCTGGACCGCTGCGGCCAGCGTGAGACCACGCCGCCGCGCGACACGCAACACTTGACCACTGTTTGCAGGCGCGACCGAGGTCGCCGGGAGCCGGGCACCGGACGCCGGACACGCTCCAAAGAGCAGCAGCGGTACGGACTGTTCTGGGACAAAGGCCCGACGGCGTACCGCTGCCAGCTCCCCGACCTCGTACGCCGCGCCGTCAGGCGCTCAGCCATTGGGACGAAGCAGCACATATTCATACGACTAGCAGCAACGGCTTATCCCCCAGGATGTGGCAGAGGGCGAGAACACGACAAATCTCGCGCCTGAGGTCACCACGGAACAAAAGCCGATTGCGAACACAACTGTGAATATCGCATTCCGTTCCACACATGCGCGTACAAAGCGTGGCTGAGAGGTCGAACGGCGGTGTTTCGAGTGACGAGGTGCTCAGGAGTGCTGATGCGCCGCAACGTAAGGCGTAACAGCGCCCGCCTCAGGCAACAATTACCAGCCCTATAATCGTCAGGATGCCAGTCTGCGCACACACGCCAAGACGCGAACAAAGGCGAACAAAAGGCCCACACGGGATACGCGACCGCAGCTGGCTGGCGCCGCACTCAGTTCAAAGCACAGCACACATAGGCCGATGTGTCGCGGTGTCGTCAGCAGCGATTGTACGCGTATCATGTTCTGTGGACCAGCGTGCCCGGCGCGTGCCGGGGTCCCTCAGACGGCAGCGGCGCGCCGACCGCCGCCGCGTACGCCGCCGATGGATCGGTCACACCACGTCGGTCGCCGCATCCGCTGCGACCAGTATGAATCCGGCGCCCGGGGACGGCCGCTCCAGGAAGCCTCGCCAGGTGACGGCTCAATCGAGTGCCTCGCTCTCGTTACAAACATACAAAACTAGGCTGTCCGGAGAGCAGCCGCCGCCAGGCCCACACTTCCTGGAGACGCCGACCTGCCCTGTCGGGCGGCGCCGGCTCGTGCACACCCGGCCAGTTGTTTCGTCACCCGGTTCACCCGCACGCCAACTCCGACATGAACAGAGCACTGGGACGGCCCCAAACAGGCCGGCTGACGCGCACAGGCGGCGCGGCCATCGCGCGTGGCGTCCGCCCACTGATGGGCCGCATCCCGACCCGACCGCCGCTGCAGGGCTGCGCGGCCCGCGGACAAAGGGAAGCCACACACGGACCACCTGCCTGCCCCGGCCCGACCACCCGCCTGCCCTGGCCCGACCACCCGCCCGCCCCGGCCCGACCACCCGCCTGCCCCGCCCCGGCCACCCGCCTGCCCTGCCCCGGCCACCCGCCTGCCCCGGCCCGACCACCCGCCTGCCCCGACCTGACAACCTGCCTGCCCCGGCCCGACCAACCGCCTGCCCCGCCCCGGTCACTCGCCTGCCCCGCCCCGGGTCACTCGCCTGCCCTGCCCCGCCCATCGGCCTGCCCAGCTACGGCTACACGTAGAAAAATAGAGACGTCGTCGCCTGACGAGGACCGCAAGACCGGAACGGCACACACGCCACCCTGGATACTCGGGGGAGGTGGGTACAGATGACACCGCTGCCGGGCACAACAGGCGGCCAAGCCCGCCACGGCCAGATACGAAACTAGGAATACCGCGCAACGCATATCACGGGCAAGCCAACGGTTGCAAATAAACCTGCTGTACTTGGGATTTGATGCAGTGTACAGCGCTTGCACCCGGCGCAAGCAAATCGAATCGCATTACTGCGATGCTGCTAATAACTACTTATCACCGAGCTAAGCTGATCGTAACCCAACTTTGGTATCCACTGCAACACGCGTAAATGATTCCAATAGCAAACAAACCACATAAATGGCAAATGCAAATGCCAAATGCCAGTGACAATGTCAATGAAACTTGCTGCTTGAAACGGCAGCAACAAAGATATGCGCATCTTGGATACGAACGGCAAAAGCGTGTTGCAATATCACACAATAGGAAGCAAACTAGGTGCAAAACAGCCTGTAACATTGATTACTGGAACGCGTATCGCATTGTAGAGTTATTAAAATAGTGATCACCGCAAATGATTGTTGAACAAACTGACCCCAGCAGCCTGGAGCTGATTGAACGTAATCCGTGCGCTTGCCTACTCGGCTGGTGGCATAGACTGACTCTCTCGGCAGGACACGCTGGTACAAAACAGCAACCCTGACAGTTCCGTGTCGTCCAGCTGCCTAATGGCTGATGTGCGTTGGAGGGACAATGCCGAACGAGTACCCTGCGCCGAGTGGAAGGAGGAGGCGGCCGGCACCTAACCGAGCCCAGTGAGCGACGCTCACGCCTACACGGCCGCCTTTCGGTCGCGCAGTCGCTCGCGCTTGGATCGCTTCCGACGACACTTGGGCGACTTCTCGAGAAAGAGCGCCTCGTGGAAGTCGTCCGAGCTGAGGGTGCTTTCCTCCACGTGCAGCACGCACGAGAGCTGCGCCTCCGACGGCGACACCGGAAACTGGAACACGTCGCGTCGCTTCTCGGCGTCCGACGCCGACTTGCTGGCGCGCAGCTGGAGGTGCGGCGGCGGCGAGCTCACCGGCGCCAGGTGCAGGCTCAGGCTCGAGCAGCGCGCCGCGCCGCGGCCCGCCGACGGCGGCGGCGCGTCGGCCTCCTCCGCTGGCGGCGGCGGTGCCGCCTCGCCGGCCACGCTGAGCGCGCGGCCGCGCGGCGTGCCGGGCGCCGGCGGCGCCAGGCCCGGGCTGCGGCAGTCGCGGCCGGCCGCCGCCGCCGCCGCTGCCGCCGCCGCCGCCTCCGGACTCCTGCTGATGGAGACGCCGCTGATGTAGAGTGTCGGCGAGCGCGGGATGCCTGTCTCGCTCTCGCAGTCGGCCGAGCTCTCCGTCTCCAGCGCCGGCCGCTGGACGACGATGTGCATGCGGCCGCGCACGTCCGAGGCCGAGCTGGCCGACTCGTCGTCTGCCAGGTGGCCGGACAGGCGGCTGCTGATGTGCCGAGGTGGTGGCACCGCCACCGCCGCCGCCGCCGCCGCTGCCGCCGCCGGTCGCCCGTCCAGGATCGCCGAGACCTCGCGGTCGGCAGAGTCGGTGGTCGGGCCGGCCCGCTCGTCACCTGTCACGTGTGCACCGGCGCTCACAAGCCATCGCCAGACACCGGTCCCCGCCGCCCACTGCACCCGACATTCAGGCCAGCCGGCTCACGCACATCCATGTGGCGGCCACTACCTTACCAACTGCCCGCCACAGGCCTAAAACAGAGGCATCGTGGGCAAAAACATCCTGAGAGGCAAACCCGTGCGGGTGTCACGCCCAGCATCCCTGGTATACGACAGTCCTTTAAATTACGAATCACATACATTTTCCAGCAATATATGACACTTTCACAGCGGCCGCCCTCAACGTTCTTTACTCGCGATACACGGCCTGACCTGAAAATTGTGAATCCATTCTCTTTAAGGCAGTCTGCAACCCGCCACCTCATGCAAACACTGCAGTCGAGAGATGTCTTCTTGAGCCATTCCATCCCGTCGCGATCAGACAATTAACCAGACGGCCGCCGTGCTCCATAACACTGTCGCCGTGCTCCAGAACACCGCTCGCCGGCGCCACTCACCGGACTGATCGGAGGAGAGCAGCAGGGGCTCGGCCGGCGGCTGCTGGCGGTGCAGCTCCCCCAGCGACTGGCAGCGGCGCAGCGCGCGGCCGCCGACCTCGCCTAGCCGGTCGGGCTGGCTGCGCACGGGCCGCAGCGAGCCACGCCGCACCGCCGGCTCGTCGGCCTCTCCTGTCGGGCCGGCGGCCAATCAGCGGCCGCCACACACGCACGCGCGGCAGCCGGCCAGCGCCGGCGGCATCCCTCGCACACGCCACGCCCGACAGCATACGCCCATCACGCCGCGGCTAGCTTGCGCTAGGTCTCGTGACACACGCACGCGCACACACACATCGAGGCGTATATGCAGAGCGAGTAAAACACGCTTAGCCAACTGCTGGCGACGCACAGAGAGGTGGTGACACAGTGGGCCAACAGCGCAGGCCGGCCCGGGCCGCCACTCGGCACTCACCTGGAGGCGCTTGCAGGCCGGAGACGGCCGCGGCGCCCGACTCCGCTCGCTCGCCGTCTGCCGCAGCGCTCCACGTGGCGCCGACGCTGAAAACGAGCCCGGCGTCCGTCACACATGACCCGTCCGCCGTCAGCCGCCGGGCGGGCACGGCCGGCGCCACACCAGCGCCGCCCCCACAAACACCACCGGAAGCACAACGCAGTGCATCAGCCCTGCGCGGCCAGGCGGGCCTCACGCCGACGCTGGAGACGAGCCCGGCGTCCGCCACGGATGACCCGTCCGCCGTCACCCGCCGAGCGGGCACGGCCGGCGCCACCGGCGCCGCCCCCACAAACACCACCGACCACACAGGCGGGCCTCACGCCGCCCCCGAATACTGCTCTGGCCAGTCGGTGGCTGACTGGCATTGAAAACAAGCAAACGCGAGTGAATGTTTCGCATGAATAACTGCGGCAGACGTTCTTGTCACTCATAGTGTTCCGCGCCGCGCCCCATGCGGCTCTGCGCTCCCGGCGGCGGCCGAGCCGAGTCCCGGCGGTCGGCGGCGGCGAGAGCGGCCGCCGGGTGCCAGCCAGCGCCGTCCGCCGCACCTCTGACCCAAGCCGCGCTGCTTGGCTAGGTTCTGCTCCTCCAGCTGCTGCAGCCGTGACATCTCCAGAGCGATGCGCAGCTCCATGTTGTAGCCGCCAGTCAGGGCGCCGCCCTGGTCTGGCGGCGCGGCGGCGGGAGGCGCCATCAGACGGACGCCACGCGCGCCACATGTCATTACCAACTCACAACGCGTTCCGAACAGACAAGCACTGACCGCTACACAAAACCATGGGCGAGAAGTGCTGCGCCAAAGCGGGCCAGGACTTTGCTCGGCACCTTGCCCGGCACAAAGGCTACGTACAAACATGACGCAGGTAAACGCGACGAACAGTCTCTGACGTACACAGCGTTGGGGTTAGCGAAGCCAAGAGCCGCCAGGCGGCGCACCCACCCATCAGGTCTCCCAGCATGTCCATGCGGGAGCACTTCAGCGAGCAGTAGTCGTGTGTGGCGCCGGTGCGCGGGTTCCTCGCGCGCGGCCGGGCGCAGCCCTGGCGGCGACACTGCGACAGCAGCCGGGCGGCCAGCGCCGTCAGCGAGTCGTCCTCATCATCCTGCGCCGGGCGACGGGCGGCCGGTCAGCGCTGATGCCGCGCCCAGGCCCGCGTGGGGCGGACAGACAGACGCCCAGGCCCGCATGAGGCGGACACAGACCAACGCCCCGGCCCGCGTGGGGCGGACACAGACCAACGCCCCGGCCCGTGGGGCGGACACAGACCAACGCCCCGGCACGCGTGGGGCGAACACAGACCACCGCCCCGACACGCGTGGAGCGGACACAGACCAACGCCTAGGCCCGCGTGGGGCGGACACAGACCCCCAGGCCCGCGTGGGGCGGACACAGACAGACGCCTCGGCCAGCGTGGGGTGGACACGCCGACCTAGGCAATGACTCGGCACTCTGGCCCATGCCATCAAGTCCACCCCATTAAGCCGCCTCCTTAGTCGAACCTATTCGCGGAACTCTACATTTCCCCGTCCCTGCCCCTGACCGCCACAGTGGAAGGCGTTGGCCGCTGCCTGGCCAGCCCGTCCCCGCCCCTGCCCACTACCATGGAAGGCGTTGGCCGCTGCCCTGGCCGGCCCGTCCCTGCCCCTGACCGCCTCAGTGGGAAGGCATTGGTCGCCGCCCTCGCCAGCGGGCGCAGGCGCGCGGCTGGGCGGCGCCCTTACCTCGTCGTCCTCCCAGTCAACGTCGGGCCAGTCGTACATGGCCGAGAGGTTGCCTGCACGTCCCTGGACCAGGAGCGGCCGGGTCCAACTCCGAAAGTGTCGCCACCACGTGGGCCGGCAGCTGCGCAGACGGACACACGCCGTAAGTCCCAGCGGCTACACCTGCCGCTTCCTCTTTGACAGACACGCCAACCAAACCTAGCCCAGCACTCTCGTAAGTGATAAAGTTCATTCACTGCCTCAGTGATCTCCTTTCAATGCCATCATAACTCTATCTTACTTAAATTGCTTCTGATCGATAAGAAAAAAAGATGAAACCGCCCACATCGAAAACATACTAGAAAGCATAACTTGAAACAACACAAAACCCCGCAACACAAGATCGGAGTTTGCTGACACTCAGGTTTTGTTTCATACAACAAAACAAAACTGCATCCTAGGACAAATAACGCTTCACCATCAGACCAGACGGGAGTTTGCTAACACTAAGACCTTGTTTCACGATCCCGGATAATCACACAGCCCTCCCTCTCCCCCCCCCCCCCCCCCCCGACCAAGCGACAGATGGCGCTCAGCGGCCACAACACCCCGCCTGCCACTCTATAGAGCCCCACACCCTCAACCAGTGGCCACCATACCCGCCTGCCGCTCTACAGAGCCCACATCATCAACCAGTGGCCACCACACCCCGCCTGCCACTCCCTGCCGCTCTACAGAGCCCACATCACCAACCAGTGGCCACCACACCCCCTGCCACTCCCTGCCACTCTACAGAGCCCACATCCTCAACCAGTGGCCACCACACCCCACCTCCACTCCTCCTGCCAGTCTGCAGAGCCCCACAGCCTCAACCAGTGGTCACCATACTCCGCCTGCCGCTCTACAGAGCCCCACAGCCTCAACCAGTGCTCACCATACCCCGCCTGCCGCTCTACAGAGCCCACAGCCTCAACCAGTGGTCACCATACTCCGCCTGCCTCTACAGAGCCCACAGCCTCAACCAGTGCTCACCATACCCCGCCTGCCGCTCTACAGAGCCCACACAGCCTCAACCAGTGGCCACCACACCCCGCCTGCCACTCCCTGCCACTCTA